CCACAGAACTCTAAACAAAAGGTAGATACACACTTCCTCTCTTACTATAGGATATTACAGAATGTTTAGGTGAGATATCTATATTATTAAAATGTTTTATAACTAAAATAATATAGTAAAAATATCAAGTTTATAATATTTATATTTATTAAGCCAAGACTGTAACCAATAATTTATTTAATAACTGAAGAAAATATAACCAAGAAAATGGTCCTGAAGTTTTAGAAGACCTAATGGTAGTGTAGTGTAATACAAAGGATGCTGCAACTGAGCCAAGAAGTCCAGGAAATTCTGCTTTTAGTTTGGAGCCAGTCCTGAGATAAATCCTAAACTCTCTTTAGACATTTTCCCTAATACATGGGGATAGATATAGTGCAAGAGGAAGAACTCTAAAGTCCTTCTATCTCTAAAATTGTGGCCATTTAAAAGAAAATGTTTTATATATGGAAGCTAAGGTAGTGTGACAGAAAATATTAGAGGTTTGGAGTCAGGTAACTTAGGTTTAAATATTGCCTTTGCCCCTTACCAGTCTTATTTCCTTATGTAAGATAATAGTATCTGCCTTACTTACTTATAGAATTTTTGTAAGGATTAAATGAGAAAAATGTTATATTTTAAAAAGGTTATTAATTATAAAATTTAGTCCACATTTTTATATTTAGATCCACCTCCAACACTATCCGAGAAAGAAATTTTTAGAAAGAATTTTTAGGTGATTAAATTGGACTACTAAATGCTAGAATATATTCCAAAAACTCTTGTTGTGTCAGAAAAGATGCTTCTATTTATAATTTATAATTTAGAAGTATTTTTTCTCAGATGTTGATTTGCTAACAGTCCCATGGTTGAACAACCCAAGTTCCTATGAACGGAGGTATGGATACCTGATGTATTACAGGAAAAATATGTTGAGTATTTTAAACTAATTTCTCTAAAGGAAGAAGTGGGGACTTTGGTTAAAAGATAAGCAGGTATGTCTGTTGGTAGTTGGTAGGGTTTGGATTTGGTTTGTCCCCCAAAGATGCATGTGTTAGAATCTTGGTACTCAGTGTGGCAGTGTAGGGAGGTGTGGTGGAACCCTTAAGAAGTGGGAACTGGAAGGAGGTACTTAGGTCATTGCAAGCATGTCCCCAGAAAGGATTAAATAGTTATTTTGAGACCCATGAGTTAGTTCTCATGAGAGTAAAAGCCTGAACCTGACTCCTGAATCATTCTTTGGTTTCCTGTCTGGTGATGTTATTTCTTGCTCTCAAACATACTCGCACTATTATGGTGCTATCTGTGAGGAAGCCTTCACCAGAGCTGAGCTGATACTGGCACCATGCCCTTGAATCTACAGAACTGAGAAGTAATAAACCTCTTTTCTTTATAAAGTTACTCACTCTCAGGTATTTCATTATAATAACAAAAAGCTGACTAATACCATAAACTAGAAATAGAAAGAGAAGCAAATGAAAATTGGTTGGGTTTTAGAAAGTATCAACAGCCTGAAATAATAATAACATCAAGAAAAAGGAATTGAGGGCACTGTGAATTACCATTCTGATTTTCTAAGATGTTTTAGAAAATCTTCTTCTATATACAAAGGAGATACCTAGAGAAAAATCTTGGGAAGTCATCAGAAATTAAGAATAAATTATATATTTGAAAATCTTAGCTAGTAAAAAGATGATTAAATTGAACTACTAAATGCTAAAGACTCAATCCCTTTTACTGATTGAATGTAGTAAAATTCAACTCAATTAATTGTGTATTGATTACCAGCTAATAGCTATCATTAGAGAGATACCAACATATAAACTAATCCACTTTGGTAAAATTGATCTAATATATTTCTAGTAACTTCAAATGTGTCAGGCTTGTCAATTCTCACTGTACTAAAACTATTATCTGGTTTCTGGACCAACATTTGCTCCAAGTTTTGAAGGCAAGGACCAAGAAACAACAGTACTTGTATCCAGATGACAGGATTAGCTTCATATACTTAAAGCCAGAAACTGGGGTTAACGGGATACATACATTATGAGCTAAAAAGACTATTGCAGAGTACCTAGAAAAATATTCTATATCTGGTTATAATTTCTTATCTTGCCTTTTCTTTTACTTGACTTTAATAAGACTAACATAAGATTCATTTTTAAGTGTATTTTTCTCTATGGTGACATATTTGAATATTACATATGTATGCATATGTAATGTATACATCAAGGAAACTTATCTCACTCTCTAGATTCTTAAAATCATGAACTTAAATAAGTATTTGTACACTATGGAATAATCTTTTCTTTTCTTGTATTCAAATAAGAAAATTTATTTAAGTTGCTCTGAATATAAAGAGAAACTAAAATAATTAATTTTCACAAAGAAATATTCATAGAGATTAACATTGCAGACCAAGAATTTCTTAAAACTATATAGTATTTCAAATTAATATATCTGCCTTTCTCTAATGTTCCTGCTTCACCTGCAGCACATCAGACAAGGTAATAATTTATGATAATCATATGAAAATATGCAATTAATATTCATCACCTCTCATTCCTCATCACTTTAGATGATCAGTAATGCAGAGTGAAAATGCTGTCAGATTTCTAATTGCTTTGTAATGGGCTTGAAACAGGGAAATCATTAAAGGCAAACAATCTGTCATTTGTCTGTTACTTTAACTATCACACCAAAAAACTCATTAAAGAAATTGCTAATGAGCTACAAGAGACTATACTTGTGGTACTTCTACAGTAGATTAAAAAGCAATACTGTGAGTTGCTTAAAATATTTTAAAAATATGATATTTGGTAGAAATTCATCAGAAAACATCTATTCTTCAGTATATTTTTAAGCTGTGTGCTTTCATTCCTTTTGGCATTTAATCCATCATTGCAGAAATCCCTTTAGCATACAAGATTTGTTTTGCATCAGTCTCTAAATAATTAAACTGAAAGGTTGTAAGAAGAAGCTGCAATGCTAAATGTGTTTATTACTAGTAAACTGACATAAGTAGTAAAATATAGTACTATAGTAACCCTGATGCTAAGTGAAGAATGTATTTTAAAATGTGATTTTTACCCTCATATTTCTTGTGGATTTGAAGTGCTGAAGTTATAATACTTTGTCTTAATGCCATCATCCTACAAAAATTTATTTAACTAGTGAAAATGAGAACAAAAACATTAAATTCTTCATAATAAATGAGCTTTTCTGAAAATTTTGAACCAACACCAAAATGTTTCACAATATTATTTCATATAATTTTAGCAAAGAGAATAAATCATCTCATTAAATAATTACCAAATTTTTTGTCTTTGTCAATTCTGCCTTTCTCTCTGAGGTATTTAATTTAAAAAAATCTATAATGATAATAGTAACTTTAAAATAAGAGGTATATAAACAAATAAAAACCCCAATTTTTATTGGTTATACAGTGTAGATGCATTTTATTTTAGAAAAATGTAAGTAATAAAGATAATAATGCTATCAATTTTGTTTTCCATTTTCCTAATGATGAATTAAATCATTAATTTCCTATAACAAAAGACATAAGAGCCTCATTAGAGTTCGATTTCTTCTAAATAGATAGACCTATTCAAATCTATTAGAATTTACAAAAACTTGAAAGCTGAATGTAATAGTATGTTGAGCCAGGTGCCATGGTTAACATACACTAGTGAATTCTAAAGTAACTTCAAAAGGTTTCATAACACCCTGGAAACATCTTCATTATACTCTCTAATTGACTTAAACAGACTTCATATCAACTGTTTAACACATTTTAACCTACAAATTAACACCCTTTGATCATTCAGATTAACCTTTCTTCTTTGACAAAAATAAGCTTTTTTCAGAAATATTTGAGGTTTAAAAAATTAAAATGGAGAAGGAAGAATGCTTTAAAAAAACAGTATATAAATGCATGTCTCCAAATGATTGAAAGAGATTATTGCACATTTCAGGGTGATTGGAAAATACAGAGAAGCCAGAGAGGTCATAAGAAAAAGAGAAAAATGTAAAGAAGTGATGGGAAAGATAAGTTGGTATTTATAATGACTACTAAATAGAAATAGATGATGAATTATATATAATATCTTTAATTTAAAGTTCATGGAATGATGAAAACATCAGATGTAAAGAAGATAGGAAAATCATAACAAAAATTCCCCATAAAATAAAGACATTCAAGATATCTGAAACGGATACAATGAAATTAAACAAGAAAAAAAAACACAACAGGTATGATGCCTACAAAAAGTTATTTATATCTTTGTATCTCTCCTGCTTAGCACATCGCCTTATACGAAATTCAATGAACATTCATTGATGATAAGTACTACTGAAATGACATAGGAGAGAACAAACCAAATCAAGAAAACCAACAGAAGTGAAAGATGCAAAAACAAAAACTATTTCTAAAAGATGAGGTAGGAGTGTTGTACTAGTCAGTTTTCCATTACTGTAACAAAAGACCTAAGGCAACCAACTTAATAGCAGGAAAGGTTTATTTTGGCTCATGGTTTTAGAGGTTTAAGTTAATTGTTCCTTTGGAACTAGGCAAGGCAGTACATCATGGTAGAGAGAATGCAGAGGAAGTATGGGATAGAAGAAGTTGCTCACCTCATGGTAGCTGGAAATAAAAAGGGCAGCAAAGTGCCAGTTGTCCCAAGATACCCTTCAAGGGTACCTAACTGCCTCCCAATATACCTCACCTCTTAAAGCTCCTACTACTTCCCTATTAGTAGTGTCATAGCTACAGAACAAACTTTCAACACATGAGCCTTTAGGGGACATTTCATATCCAAACTACATGATTATTTATTAGAGCTGATTCCCAATACTGTATAAGCTTTATTATATTCTACCAAAAGAAGAAAAAAGTTTCCCTAATTCTAGCTATCCATTTATCCCTTCCTTTAAAGCATTGTTTAAAACTTAATGCTTCCATCCATGTTCCTGGATTAATTGTGAGTCAAGAATTTCAATCATTTGTCAGGTGCAGTGGTGCTTACCTATAATCCCAGTGGCTCGGGAGGCTGAGGCAGGGAGAATCTCCAGTTCAAAGCCAGCCTTAGCAAAAGTGAGGAACTTAGCAACTCCGTGAGATCCTTTCTCTAAATCAGATACAAAATAGGGCTGGGGATGTGGCTCAGTGGTTGAGTTCCCCTGAGTTAAATTCCTAGTACCCCCAAATAATTTCAATCATTCAATCAATATATTTATTCTATTTGTGTACCTGTAAGTTATTAATATCATAGCATTTTGACTTCCTCTTACATAGCATTTACATTTATTTCATCTCCTTGTTTAAATGTCTGTCACCCAGATAAACCATAAGTTTTTGAAAGGGATGAAACCAATTCTGTCTAGTATCTCTTGTGTGCGGTATAAAATAGACACTCAAATACTTGTTGGTTCAGTGAATAAGTAAGTGAAAGCTAAATATGTATTATTTCATTATTTTTTAAAGATCTCATCACTATCTAGTTCTTGGTGGTTTTTGTATCTTCCCAAAAGATTCTAAGTTGCTGTACATGTATCATCTAATTTCAGAACATAACCATAAAACCCTTTAGTAGTTAAGAAGTAATTCAGCTTAGTTCACTGACATGATAATCCTAAAAATTCAGAAATAGATATCAAGGAAATTAAGAAAGAGTTGGTGATGAAACCACTAGAAAGGGTCAAGTAAATACAAATGGTCAGAGAGAAAATAATTAACACAAGTACACTGCTGCTTTGGTTTGAATTGTTGTCTCTTAAAGGACTATGTGTTAAAAAGTGCAGTCCCCAGGATGGTGTTATTTGATGGAAACTTAGGGAGATGGGCCTAGTGGAAGGCAATCAAGATTACTGTAGGTGTACCCTATGAGGAGATTGTGGGACCCTGAACTCTTCCCCCTTCCTTTTTGCTTCCTGACCATGAGGTAAGCAGTTTGCTCTTCCATACACTGTTTACCATTGCTAGTTGGCACCCTCACAAGAAGCCCAAAGCAATTATGTCTTTCTGATTTTAGATTGGCATCTCTAAAATTGAGCTAACATAAAATTTTAATCTTTACAATGTATTTCATTATAATGACAGAAAGCTGACTCATACAACCCTACATATTATAATTATTACCCATCAATGGAAATCATAGCTTACTAGTAAGATCTCAAAATAAGAATTTACTAATGTCTGGTGGACATTAATTATGGATAGACTAGTACTTAAGTAATAAACTGAACAACAATGTAATTTCTTACTACCATTACAACCAAGGGCCTTGAACCTCTCATTTATCTATTTCTGTATATTGGTATATCTATATATCTATAGTACTTGATCAATGATCTTGGAATACAATATTTAATTTATAGCTATCTTTCTTACATTGGATGCGGATGACACAAATTAAGAAGGCTTTGCCCATACTTTTAATTTATTCTGCAAACTGCAGAATATAGTTCAACAAATATTTGGCTTTTATTTTTCTAATTCAATAGTTTTTGGTTTTCATTTGCTATGTTTGTAAATTTCTAAAATACTTCTAGAAATGTTTAATAGCATATCGAAACTGAGTAATAAATATTTCATAAATAATCAGAGCAGCCAAACTTCACTAGGTACTTTCTACTTACAGGCACAATTATCCCAGATGATTCTCAAACAAATCTATCAGGAAGACTATTACTAATAGTCTTTACTGAAGAAGAAAACAAAGCACAGAGATTAGCTTTAAAAAGTTCTCTTAGGCATAAGAGCCAGAGCCTGAACTATGTACCTATGTAGCCTGATTCCAGAGTTCATGCTCTTAACCACTAAGTAACATATTTTATATTTCTGCTATATCAGTTTCCAAAAAATGGATAAATTTCCTTCTGAAAAAAAGAAAAACAAATCTATTAGAGACATATGTCTTTAGAAGTCCATAGAATGAAGATAGCCAGTGTCTCAAATGAGATGTTCTTGCCCTCAAAAAGCTTGCAACCCAATTGGGGAACCAGAACAAACATCAAAAGAAAACAATACACTATGCCATAGGATGAATGCAAATAAGCATACACAGAATTTGCTATGAAAGTTGAGAGAAAGTAATTTCTAAGTACTGGGCCATCATAAAAGATTTGATAGAAAATACAGGCCTTATATGAGGGATAAAATTAATAGGAGGAAGAAAAGATGGTTTTATAAGTAATGGGAAACATTTGAACAAAATTATGGATGAAGCACCCTGAAAAGATCAACTGTTCTAATTTTTCATTAAGGGAGGTAAATGGTGATGAGGCTAGAAAATTAAGGACCATATTGAAAAGGTAAATGAATTCCAGTTAAAGAGTATTTTATTCTCTAGATCTACCCTCTTCAATATTGCAGCCACTAGTCAAGTGTGGCTACTGATCACATGAAATGTGGCTAGTCCAAACTGAGATGTGCTGTGTGGGCAAAATACATACCAACGTTTTAGGACATAGGAGGAAAAAAGAATGTAAAACATCACATTAATAACTTTTAAAAAATATTTTTTAGTTGTTGATGGACCTATTATTTATTTATATGTGATGCTAAGAATTAAACTCAGTGCCTCATGCATGTTAGACAAGTGCTCCAACACTGAGCCACAATCCCAGCCCTCATTAATAATTTTTATATTGATTACATTTTAAAGTGATAATATTCTGTATATACTGGGTTAAATATAATATTTAAAGTCACATTATGTAGCTTGTACTTTTGTGGCTTCCATTGTATTCATATTGGACTGGGCTGTTCCAGAAAATGACACACAAAGGAAGATTAATGAGCAGGTATTAATGTCTGGTGGACATTAATTGTTTTAAGAAATTTATCCTAATATAATAGACTCATAAGACAAATTATCTGGTTTTTCAATAAGCTAAATCACAGGAAAAGAAGAAAGCAAGATTTTAGCAAAGAAGTGGGCCTACTATAGCTTAAAAGATGTTTCAGAAATGTAATAACCAAATATAATGTATGCACTTTGTATCCTGTTTCAAGGAAACTAACCATAAAAGACATTTTTGAAACAACAAGGGAAATATAAGTAAGGTCCAAATACTGATACCAAAGAAATATTAATAATATTGGTTTGAATAGTACACATTTCCTATTTTTCAAACCCAAATAAATAAATAAATAGAATAAAAGAGAGAACACAATAACCTAACAAGAATAGTACATTAAGATAAAGCACTTTTCTGTTCAAACTGAAGTACTTAAACATATCTCTTTATACAAGGAAGGGCTAAGAAGTGCAAAGTGGGTTGTTTAAGGGCTAGGGAAATTCAAGAATTATTCTGACAGTATTGCATTAGAAAGTATTCACTTAATTTTGTTGCTTTAGGTATTTTTGTAGGGCTAAATAGAAGGTACGCTGGAGCCAGGACTAAAACTAGACCCTCTATCAGTATAATTTTCTTTGTGTCTGCCTTAAATATGTGAAAATCCTATGGAGAACCAATACTTTTATCTTTAGATTTTTTTAAAGTTGCCTGTATCACTCTGTATAGTTCTTACCATCATTAAATAATAGATCATATTAGAATATTTTACTTACTCTACATAATTTTATCTCTAATGCTTCTTAAAGCAAGATTGGGTGGGAGAAAGATTAAAAAATAAAAGGAAAATAAACCTAAACAGCAGCAACAGCAAAACCATCTTAACATTTCCAGGTAAAATTGTATGTCACAAGCCAAAAAACTAAGATAAATTTACACCTCTTGGCACAATGCCAGGAAGAGAGATCAATGTAAAACAAGCGAAGAGAAGAGTTAATAAAAGGGAACAAGGGAAGGGAAGAAAGAGAAAAGGAAGGGTGGGGGGGAACTAGCTAGGACAAGCCCAACAGCGCCCATTTGGAGTGCCCCTTAACTGATTCAAAGGGGAGGAGACCATTTTATTTTTTTCGAAAGGCTTAAAAGGTAGCAAAGCGGCCTGAGAATATGTGGACTAAGTAAGGGTTCGGCTGCTACTCAATTAGCTATTTTGGTCCTGGTCTTTGGTTTTTTGCCCTAATAGTAAAACCATCCTTATTTGTCTCACTGGATTAAAGTGAAAGCAGAGTGAGATAGAAAATTAAAAAGGATATGGAAAAGTTCTTTTTTTTTTTTAAGTCGGTGACCAAAGTCTAAAAGAAATAATTATTTTGAACCTATTTTATCAGAACTCCTCATCCTTCTCATAACCTCCACCCGCGCCAAGTACACACAGAAAAGAAGGGGAGTGGCGAGCGCAGGGTAAGGTGAGCGAAAAAGGAGAGAGAAGGCGGGGATAGCCTGAGGGGTGTGTTGCTCGCTGAAGAGGAGGAGAGAAGCGACAGTCGCAGAACCAGAAAAAAAGAGCCAGAGTGAGGCGAGGGACTCAATTCTCTACAGCTCGGACACTTACAGCTAGTCAACTCCATGAAATTGGTGACTGGTTACCATAGCTACCGCGTCGGGGCGGGAACAGCGGCGCTTCCTACTGGTGCCCTGGCACCTAGGGCTCGACTAGAAACATGATCACGTTAGAGCAGTGACTTCCGGCGGAAAAAGACACTGGTTCCTAGCCCTAGCCGGTATCCGAGAGCCGGCAGCGAGCGGGCCTCCTTGGCTGTGTGAAGTTGGGTAAGTCTGATAAAATCTGAAGCCCGGGAGAGGGTACCCGTCAAGTGGCCGGGCCGGTGGAAGTGACTGTGTATACAGTGGATTCCCAAGTTCTAATCTTGGGAAGGCCCCAAATGTCTGAATAAGTCTGTAGCGTGGAAAGAGGTTGCTTGGTTTCTGGGGCTCCTGGTAAGTGTGGTTTCTGTAGCTTGAATGGACAGCTTCAGGGGCTCTTCAAATCTTTGGGAGGTCAGAGCGTCTCTCCAGTAACCTGGGGACTCTTGCTGTCTCCCTGCCAGTGCTAATGTTCACTGCGCACAATCTCCTTTCCATGTAATCTGGAAGAAAAGAAGTGAACGGAAAAAATTAGGGTATGCCCTCAAATTCATTTTTGTTTTTGTTTTTAGTTTTCTGTTTTGCTTTATTTCTTCTGTTTGTTTATTTTGTAAATATTTATTAAACTGTGTTTAGTAAGCTCTTGTATGCCATTTTACCCACCAGATTACCTTCTTAGAAGTTCATTCACCAACTACCTCCAGTATCAACTTCTAATTTTATGCTACTGTATATTCATTAATTTAAAAGATATAATAGGTTTTCCATTTTTGTGTATACCCTTATCCATGGAATTCTTGGCATTTTAAATAAAAATGCATGATTCCATAGGTTTACGTTACAATCATGATTCCTCAATGAGATATTAAAGAACTCAGAAAGGCAGTACTTCATTTTAGATATAAACTGTAGTGAATTATTGTCATTGATATTTCCATTCAGCGGATCTGAGAAGATCCACTTCTTGTTTAATGGATGATGGCATTTGAGCAGTTACCAAAAAAGGATTGGTACAGCATTCTGGGAGCAGACCCGTCTGCAGATGTGTCAGACCTAAAACAAAAGTATCAAAAGCTCATACTGATGGTAAGTCTTTTTCTTTAAGATTATAAATCATGGGCGACAAAAACAACAGGTTATAATTGTCACTAGAAATTTAGGTTTTTAAACATATATGGTATCAGTAGGAATTGAAATATTAATTTGCGTCAATTGAAAGTCTC